GCGTTATCAAAGACTTGCATGCCCAGGACTGGGGAGGACTGACCAGGAATGTAAAATGTTCCAGCTTTGGTCTCAGGACCCTAAAGTCTCAGTTGAGGCAGTTTTGGTTTAGGTCCTTTTGTTGCTCTAGTCCTGGGTGTGCTCTTCTGCACACAGGAGTCAGTCTCAACATCCTTGTCACCTGGTGTACCTACTGCTGCCATCTATTGTAATTTCAACATGCCTATTGTTGTATTTGGTAGTACTCTGAAAGCCCTGGGTATAGCTGGTAATGTATTAGCTTTAATTTAAAAAAGTAAAGCACCTGCTTATCATGATTATGGAAAAGGTTTAAAGTATGCCTAACTTCTCTAAAGGCTGAATAGAAGACAAGTAGAACCTCAGAATAACATGAACATATATGTGCATCAGTCTCGTGATTTCTCGGGGATTACTTGTTTTTTCTCTGCCATTTGGGATTAGAAATAATTTGTCCAGGAAAATGGTAGTTTATTTGAATCCATTAAGATGCAGATGACAATATTTCCCATGCTTTCCTTATTTTTTTAATCTGTTCTTCTTACAAAGCGGAAGTACTTTGGTGAACCCCATAGCAGCACTTCTGTTAAAGTGGGATCATGGTTCTCCTCTTTATTCTGGTTGTTTTTTGGTTCCTATATGCCATATTCTGCACCTGCATTGAAGTAGGCCCATATCTGTGTGGTCACCTCTATCACTTCGTAATTTTGCCTTCCATCACATTAACATTTACTGCTCTTTTTACAGCATTCCCTTCACTAAAGACACTAGAAAAAATGCTAATCACTTGCAAATAGTAATTGTAATTTTAATGGCAACCTCAGTAAATTGCTTTTTATGTACTGTAAGAAAATTGAAAACTACGTGTCCATTTTGCTGTTTAATAAGAATCTTATAGAACAAGTAATAGTCCTTTCACTCCTTCCATCTAGTGGGAACATGAATAAGCTACCAATATCCGCTGAGAATCCCTTCTTGTGCACTGTGGAGTTAACAGGAGTTGAGGAGACAGCCAAAGGCTCCGTAGGTGCAGAAATGAAATAGAAATGGAAATGCAAGAAAGATGAAAGATTAAGGTGAAGAGACTGTGAAAGAGGGTGAAGCATAAAGAAGATCACACAGGGCAAGGAAGCCCTATTAAAACTTTAGAAATATCTCCGGATAAAAGACGGGAGCGTTTGGCTGGCTTCTTTCTGCTGTCGTATGGGAGCTTGAGTCCAGAACTGTTGCAGCTGTAACAATGTTGGGCCAGGGTCGGGGGCGTTCAGGAGATAACAAATATCAACGTGGTAACACCTTATACTATAATACAAGGCCTCTTTTTTCATCAGTAAAATTTATCAGAAAAACATCTCACCTTGCATGCAGGTGTTACATGTGCAGTAGAAGAGCTGTGAGCCGGTGATCCATGTAGAAGTAAGTTAGTGTAAGTAAGCCAATTATTGCTGCCCCAGAGTTTTTGCACATAGTGTACAGCAAACTGCCTGATAGGAGGACATTTTTAGGCATCCTAACTCTATGGATGTTGGGAGCTGCTGCTTTCCCACCAAGGCAGCAGCTCCTGGCTCTGGCTGTGTTCTGCCGTGACTCTGCCTGCACTGCATCAGGGTAGCACCCAGGGCGGCAAAGCAGCTCGCAGTTGCTGGTGACTTCTGCTGGGAGGCAGCATCCTGGTGTTTGCAGATCTGCTCTGCTGGCTGGGCCCCTTGCCATGGGTGGGAACCAGTGCCTTGCACACAGGCGTGAGGCATCACTTATCACCTGTCTGGAAGTAATTTACCTCGGAGTCTGCAGTGATTTGGCAGGAGCGGAGAGCTGCATGGTTTGGCAGAGATTTCCAGAATGGGCCCAAGGCAAAGCGGACTTGGGAGAGAGGAAGCTCTGGGTGGGGAAATGGTAGCGGGAAGGAATCGTTACTTGTCCCAAGCTGCTGCTCTGACCACCCTCAATGCACATCCAAGTGCCCCAAGAGAGGGGGGAACTGAAAAAGGATCTCCTTACACAGACCTTTCCCAAAGGATGCTGGCAGGAAAAGTAGCTCTGGATTAGATCCATTTGCTCTTAACATAGTTGGTACCTAGTAAGAGCCAAACTTCTGCCTGTCTTAATAATTTAAGCTTTACAGAACAGAAGCTGAGTGAAATTTTGACCTTGCGTATTACTGCTGCGTAAGTAATCCTCAGAAACACTCTCAGTCTTGTTAACTGTTTGTAGTTACCACAGGACTTAGGAATAATTATATTGTACTTTTGCAATACAAATAAAGCATAAAGTGTGTTCTGGATTGTAAATTTTGCATTAAAACATGATTTAAAAGCTTGGGAGAAGCTGGCATTAATGAGAAGAGTTGGTTTAGACAGTCTTGTTTAATTCAAATGCAGTTGATGCATATCTCTCACGTGCTGTGTTAGTCTTGGTTTTAAAAGGTAGAAGTAATTTGTATAATGTGATGATAAATATGGCAGAAACAATAGCTAGAGACATATGTATCAAACTAGAAAAGGCAAGTGGCAAGTTACAGCCAGGGGTAGTTCTAGGGAAAAAAAAAACCAAACCAAACACCAAAAGACCTGGTCCATGTTCAGAGTTGACATGTAGAGGAATGCAAGTCTTGGGTAGATGTAAATTGTATGAAAGATATGAATGAGCATAACTATTGTTTATGAACAATTTGCACCTAATTCAACTTTCATCCAAGATAACTTTCACTGCTGTTTGTGTGGTCAGTGTATTGGCTTGTGCTCTATTTTTAAAGAAGATTGATTAACCTGTCCCTTCTGATTTTTGAGGTGTTCATAGTCACAGTGCTTTTTAATTCTGTATCAGAACTTACTACATTTTGGACCCTTAATGGAAAACATGCATATGATTATCAGCAAAGAGGTGCTTTATTACATCTTGGGTTTTTTTTTAAAGAATGCTTTATAATACATCATACAGTAAGCTCATGTCTGTTCGTATTGAAATGCGCCATTCAGAGCTCTTCCATGGAATCTTGTTTTAAAGAGTGGAATTCAGCAGTTGACTCCCAGGCACAAATAACCATATAATTACTCTGCAATCACATAGTAATTAGCATGTACTATTCATATATTGCATAATTACATGCCCTGCAGATTACATAGTAATTATATTTGTACTAAACATATAATTCTATATACTGTATAAAAAAAACCTTGTGAGTTCGTAGTTAAGATTATAGTTGTATGCTAATGTAATACAACATTTTATATAAAAATGTTACGATTTTATGAGAGGGTTGTATTTTGGATATCTCATCTCTTCTGCATCTGGTGTTGCTTAAACTGCGGTAGGCTGCTATTATGAGAAATGCTTGGCTCTCTTAATTTATAGTCGAATGTTGCATGTTTATAATTTTGTAATTTGTGAAGATAAGAAGCAAAAATTTGCAGTTTATTGTGCAAGAAACTGGGATTGGAGTATGAAAGTTAAATGGACAAAGGTTAAATGTATGAACCCACTGAATGTAGTTAGAGCATATCACTAGCATGAAAAATCTAATGCTACTTACGCATTGCGTTATTTCTGGATATGTAAGAAACATGGGATAGTAGCAGGTGATATATTTGTATAAGGTGAAGTGTGTGCTAGCATCCAAGGACTGTCTCGGGCACAGTCAGTTCAAGCAAATGCAGTACCTTGGTGCACCATGTCAGCCAAGCTACATCGTCTTTTACTGCCGTGGAAACAGAGAAAAGGTTGATGTCCTGATCTGGGAATGGGAGGCAGAGTGGTAGGAGAATGGAGAGGAGTGGCACTGAGTTGTAGAAGGGCCTTGGGCTGAGTTTTTGGGAAAAGGTGGAAGATCTAGAAAAAAAATCTTTTTTTAAGAGGAACTTAGAGCTTTTTAGATCGTTTGCGATGTTTATCTTTGGCCATCCCCCATAGGAGGTTGCTGCAGAGTTTTAGATATTCGCAAAATGTTTTGTCCAACTTGCAAATTCCATAACAGTGGGAAGTTAATGTATTTTCTTGTATCTGTGATGTTGGCATTCCTAATATCCAAAGCAGCATTACGATTATTCTTAATTGAATTTTGCATTCTAATGCCAGTTGCCTTCATTTTCAAGGAAAGCATACATTGGGTTTTAATATCTGGATAACGTATTGCAAAATTAAATGTGTAATTATAGTCTTAACTTTTATCTGAGTTTAATTTTTTCTGTAACTTCTTGTAGCGCGTGTGTGTGTGTGTGTGTGAGAGAGAGACATACTCCTTGTTTTAAAATGTTTCTTTCACAGCCACTTGTTAATTATACGTCAGCTTTTTCAAAGCTTGTAAACTTCATAAAACTTCCCGGGTTCAGGTGGCATCTATAGATCTTATAACAATGGAGCTTACAGGCCTTGTGGGTGGCCTTAGAGAGCTTACAGTCACGGGGCTGCACCTGCTTTCCTTTCTGTCTGGGTGGGCTGTTTTTATACGTCAAAAATTGTAGTAACAGGCATGTGGCTTTTACATTCTGCAGAGTACATGAATTACATTTAAATGTTGTTACCTGGTGTAGACGCTGAACGTCATATGTACTGTTCAAGGAAACAATTAAAAATGTCAGAGCCTTACAAAACCGGAGTTAGGAGCCCACCTTCTCACTGTTCTCGTGAGATGGGCCAAACGTATCCCTTCCGATTTACCAGCGGTTTTAATAGCTTTTTTGTGAGGCCAAGTCTTACCCAATATTCATCCTGCATGTCTGCTACAAAGAAGATGAAGTACAGTCTGCCTGGTGTAATCGTCATTTATTTGCCAGCATTCTGACCTTAACACATGCCTGTGCTCTTTTTCACTCGTTAAACCATTACCCTGAGAAACATAAGGACTGGTCACGGTTTCTGGCACTGAAAGTTTTGTATGTAACAAATATATAATCAGGATCTCATTAACAGTGAAATAAAGACAAACATCAAAACACAATATAAATGTGACGCAATTCTTACTGCTGTTGTGTTGTTTTTTCTAGTGGAGCCAGTACTTTCAAAGGGGAACAATTGCTTGGATGCAGCAAAAGCTTGTAACCTAAATGATACCTGCAAGAGGTTCAGATCTGCTTACATAACCCCCTGCACCAGCAGCACGTCTAATGAAATCTGTAACAAGCGGAAATGTCATAAGGCCCTCCGGCTATTTTTTGACAAAGTTCCCCCAAAGCACAGCTACGGGATGCTCTTCTGCTCCTGTCGAGACGTAGCCTGTACAGAAAGGAGACGGCAGACTATTGTTCCTGTGTGTTCATATGAGGACAGGGAGAAACCAAACTGCCTGAATTTACAAGAATCCTGCAAGAAGAATTACATCTGCAGGTAAGCTAGCACATGGCAGGGGAGTGATTAATGAGGTACCAGAGAGAACTTTTTGGTACTGCTGGATTTGCCAGGACTAAGGGTCAGAATATCCACTAGGGAAAAGGATGAGTCAGGGAAAAAAGCACACGCCTCTGACATCCTTAACTGAGTAACAAAAGCCTGCATCTGGTTACAACGTGTGCCTTCTCCAAAACTGTTCACAGCTACTCCCTCGCATTACAGAGGAATCTTTAAACCCCCAGTTTAATTTTTACAGATTTTTGTTGGCAACAATTTCATTAGGTGTCTCTATGAAATGATGTCTCAGAATGATTTTTATGTCCCATTAGTAACCAGGTGAAAATAGAGTTATTCATTACAATGGGATTTATTTTCATTGTAATCTTAGCGTGAGCGCTAATAACTGTGAATACAAGCCACATGTTGGACTTTATAAATGGTCACAAACATAGACTACTCATGGGTTTTTTCTTCATTGGAAAAAAAGGAGTCCACGTTTGTAGACTAGATCCCACTCTCTTCGTAGAGCTGTTCTAGCCTTGGAATTGTTTTATCTCCCCTCCCCTGACAAGAGTGCTGGGCTGATACAACTGGAGGGTCATTGATTCACTGGCCTAATTCCCAGCCTCTTTCCTCTGTGCGTTCAGCCCGGAAAGGCAGCGCAGGGCGCTGCTTCACGGGACAGACTGGGTCCTTCTGCCTTCATTGAGTTCCCTGCAGGTTGTCACACAACGCTTATTCAGCGGCATACAGGACCTCCTCTGCCCTTAGGAAATGCTTTATTCCTACTTAGCATTGTGTATGTTTATATTAGAACGTTGTTGTGCTAGTCATATTTATGAAGTTATGCCCAAGAATCTTGCTTATTTCTAATGTGTAAATTCCTTGTAGATTATCCAATTCTGTGAATTAGCAAGCAAGGAAATAAACACTGTTGTAAAATGTCAAGGACACTGAAGATATGATATAAATCTTAACAAGTACCTACATATGCCTGGTAAAATATTTACTTTTATGTTTGTTTATGAGATCTCCACTGCTGATCTTAAGCGTTTAGCCATAGCACCTCAGATGTGTCCGAGTGTTGTTCAGAGGTGAGGAGGTGAGCAGCGCCCTACCCTCGATGGCTCAGGGGAGATCTGGA